GCCGCTGCCGCAGTTGCCACCCCCGGAGCTCCACAGCGTGCATCCCCGGATCTCCGTAGACTGGCCGTCGGAGACCACCGACGGGAGCGTGGTCGTCAGGTGGCTTCTCGGGATGTTCTTGCGTATTTCCTCATCCTCGTACCTTCAAAAAAAAAAAAAGATGCGCACATATGGTAGTGGACGTCAGGAGATGGGTGGTCAGGAGATGGGGGGGGGGGGATGGCAACACATCCTATTTGTTTGGATTTCACCCCCGTCTTCACCTTCTTCCACGTTCTCGAGGCTACAAATGCGTGGCTGAAAATACAACACCCGCACATATTCGTCCACGCTCGAGAGAAAGAGACAGACAGGCAGAAAGGCATCGAGAGAGGCATATATATTGAGAGAGAAGACAGAGGGAGGGAGAAACAGAGAGAGAAAGCGACAAGAGAGACACACACACCGAGACAGAGAGACAAGACCGCAGCACATTGTTACCACGGCCACCACCAAACAACAGCACCAACAGCAAAAGCTCAGCTAGCTTGTACAATACCTGACATCGACCGTGCCGTCCCTGTGGGCGACCTTGACGCTCCCCCTGTACCAGACAGTTCCCGGCCCCCGGGCCCCTCCCGCCATCCGGAAGCACGAGAAAACCTGGCACGTGCGAAAAACAGGCCGACGACACACGCGGGCGAAGAAGAAAAAAAACGAACGACGGTAGTCGGAGACAAAAAAAAAAGATGGTGATGGTGATGGTGGGGTGATACAGAATCTTAATCGTCACGCGAAGCGCACCTCCGTTCCGGGCCTTAGTCGCGGCAACCCAGAAGACGACGCCGACGTCGATGCCACCGCCGCCGCTCTCTTCCCCTTGCTTCCCCTCGTGGTCTTCTTGCCGCCCTTCTTCGCCGCGGCTCCGGCCCCGGTGGCGGCCGCAGCAGCACGGCCGGTGGGGGCAGGAGAAGCAGCCACGGCGGAGGAGCCCCCACTACCGGCTACTACCTTCCGCCGCTTGTTTCGGAGGCGAGAGGAGTAGCCGCCGGCGCCGGCGCCTTCCGCCACCTCTTCCTCGCCCTTTGCTTCTCCCCCGCTGCTGCTGCTGCTGCCGCCGGCCGACGCCCCCGCAGCAGCAGCAGCAGCAGCAGATGCTGCCAGGGTAGCTTGGGAACAAGCGTCCTCGATGTCCAGCGACTCCTCCTTCTCTTCCTCGTGGTGGCCGGCACCCCCTTCTGCCATTGATACGGCGGCGGCGGCGGCGGCGGCGGCGGCCCAGCCACCTCTCCCGCTCCCCGCTCCCTTCCCTTTTCTAGACGAAGACGGTGACGGTGACGAGGCACCCCCCTCCCGTCCTCGAGGCGACGGAGCCCCCTTCCGCTTCTTCCCCGCGACACTCTTCTTCCCGCCTCCCTCGTCGTTCTTTCTCCCACCGCTGGCGCTACGTCTCGTCCCGGCAGCACCGCCGCCGCCGCCCCTACCCCTGGGGCTACCATCATCATCATCATCATCGGCGACGTCGCTGACGCTGCTGCTAGACGACGGGGACGAGGACGACGAGGACCCCGAACCCACCAAAAACTGCGCCAGCTTCGAGATCGGCCTCGGCGGCCCCCGCCGGGACGACGCCGTCGCCACCGCCTTCTTCTTGCTCT